AAAAAACAAAAACGTTCAAATACCACCACCTCGACCACAACCACTAAGGGAAAAGGAATTTGTAAGAGATCAAGATCCTCTTCATCCTTGTCCGCTTCCAAAATCAAACAACAATCCATGCAATTTACCTTTCCTTTATGGACCTTCCATGTATCACGGTCCTCAAATTCCTCTAGACATTAGGTGATTTCTGGTGTTGGCCAACTCTCAGATAATACCAAGCTGCCAATCTAATACCAACATTACTAGAGTGATCCAATCATGTACTTTATCATCCATTCTCTCTCCCCATTAGTTGTTCCTTGATTACAACAATAAATTATTTATTTCTCACAACTTTTGGAATGAGCCTTCTCAATGCATTCAGCTTTCATGTGGGAAATATGAGGAACATTCAAGTGTTGATTTAAAATTCAATTCGATCAGTTGACCAGTGTCATTTACAGTTTCACAAATAAATTGTGACTTAAGCCATCATCATCCAAATACGCCATTTTACCAACATGTCGTGATCCGGATGTGTTCCCCATCAAAAAACTCCGAATTGTAATTGCTTCATTTGTGGTTGACCAATTGCCTGTCCATTACAATACGACAGGTTTTGTTTGCTTCACCTTTAATTTCATCAAATAAGGAGATTTTTAAAACTTTTTCCCAAATAGTAGCACCACCCTTTCTGAACACTATAAAAACGCCAACTGTCATGACATCTATGAGAACAACAAACACAACAAAAAAACACTTGACAACAATCACAACAACCACAACCACAAGAACAACAACAATGGCCACTACTATTCCATCACCATTCAACTGGGACTCTTCTTTCTGCGTTGGTAACAATGAATTGAATGAGCAACACAAGAAGCTCTTTGCTCTCATCAATGCTTTGGATGCCAACAGATCCAGTGCTTCAGCATTGAAGGAATTGCTTGATTTCGTCGTTATGCATTTCAAGGCTGAGGAGGACTTGTTCGCAAAGGTGAATTTCTCTGATTCTACTTCTCACAAAGAGACTCATGATAAGTTTGTTCAAGATGCTTTGGGTTTGAAGACTGTTGGAGATGCTGAAATTCAATTCATCAAGCAATGGTTGGTGAATCACATTAAGGGATCTGATATGAAGTACAAGGGAGTGCTTTAAAGCGTTTGGCATTTGCTCGTGAAGAGTTAATAAATATCAAGATTGTATTACTGATCAAGATTATTGTAGTATTATTGATCAATACAAAAAAAGCATTGTTTGATGATTGTGTATGATCGATCAATACACAATTGTTCACTGTTTGGTGATGAAAGAATGTACGTTCTCAACAATAATTCTGGGAGTGATGAAATGATCACATGTTTGTTCACATATGAAAATGCTAGTGTGTAATATTGGAATGATTCATAGACAACAATAATCTTTCAAAAATTCACAATCGAAGGTCAGCAGCAATTCCAAAGTGGTCCGATATGGGATACTTTTCATCGTTGCCAATATCACAATTCCAATCGACAATATGATACGTTTGTGGGTGAGTGTTTGGCTCTCTTGAAGACTTGTTGCGACCTCTTGTGGCAAATGGATTGAAAATCAAGTCGTTAGAATGGCAAGGAACAGTATATATTATGTGATCCAAACACATATTCTTGTGAGTTTTAGGATGTTTTGTGAGGTCGCTTCCAAAAATGTCTCTGAATTCACATTCTTGGATGTAGTTTTTACAAATTTTTGAGTTGAGCTCATTCAGTAAATACTCATAAATTTCTACATCCACTAAACTGTCAATGTTAAAATCTCCAGCAAGAACAATATTATGTTTTGTCAAATTATGTTGATGTGAACTGGTGTGTTTTCTTTTTGCATATGAAATGTATGTGCACTCTCTAATAAACGCTATCAATTCATCGATTTGACATCGTCGAATATTTTCATCATGTGCATCCATATGAAGCGTAAAAGATGAACAACTCCTTCGTGTGGACTGTGAATTTTGGAATATAGGACTCCTTTCCCTGTGACATAGTCATTCCAGCTAGCGTTTTGAAAAACGTAATTTTTGGAAAATACGATTGGATATTTGCTCAAAATCAACAGTCCAGAATCTTGACATAACAGATAAGGAGGATCCGACAAAGCCACATGATAATTCAATTCATTAGTTCCCTTTTTTACAATCAGTTCATGAAAGGTATTTTCAAATAATTCAAAAAAGTATTTCCATATCGAAACACTTCTTGCAAGACAACCACATCAAACATTTTGTGAGACGTTGTTGCTATCTTGCCTGATTTTTGTTGTTCTTTGTTTTTCTTTGTAATTTTTTCATCTGCGATCACACACGAAGATTCAATGCCTCCTGTTGTTGTTGAGATGGCTCGATCATCATGATGAAGGTGATCGGAATTGTTCTTTTTGGATCGGCTTGTTGTTTCCTCCAAAACACAATTTTCAAATTCATCAAAACCGTTTGCTAAATGTCTTAAAAATCCCTCCGTTCGTTCCTTCTTAAATGGTGGAGGAGACTTTTTGAAGGAGAGCGAATTGATGAGCCACATGTTTAAAGTAAGCAATTTCATTTTTTTTTAAAAATACATTTGGGTTCCAAGTTCACTAACTGGAAATTTCATCCAGCGGAATAATAGCAAAAAATGCTTTTCTCAAGATGTGACGTTTCAGCCACACGCTTTGGGATGAATTAAATCACTGTCCTGCATGGTTGAGTTTATTGAATCGCCTTGTCATTCTTATGTTATAAGTTTCTCTTTTCATGACTTAAAACGTCACGCTTGATCCTGCAAATGACAGTTGAAATCCAAACACTTGTTTTAATGATGTCATAATTTAATAATGATGATGGCTCTCGGAAAGCTTGTCCATAACCATAGGTTTGTTGTTGATATGAAGAAGCTTAATCAACTATAAATTTTTCAATTTCCTCATTAATTTGCTTTGGAATCTGCAACATGACAAAGTGACCTGCATCCAACTTGAGTAACTTTGATTTTGACTTGACACTTTCATCGACATAGTACTTGAACGATAAATCAGCAGTTTCCTCAATGAGTGCTATATCATCCTTTCCCCACAAAATCAATGTTGGTACTTTCACTGTTTGATTTTCAATAGGTCCATCAAGAGTATTGCCCACCATTGGATAACGTCTTTGATCTTTCATTCCTAACAATTTCATTTTCACATAATTGGAAACCTTTCCTGTAAGCAAAGCTCTATAATATGCAATCATGGCTTGCATGCAATTTGGTTGAGACCAAGCATTGACAATGTAATGATAATCTTCAATTGAGAGAATATTCTGTTTTGCTAAATCAGCAAAAGCAAAGGATAATTTCCTGAATCCTTCACGTGAAAAGTACTCTTCTGGAATGGAGAATCCCAATTGCATGAAGAAAATGTACCAACTCTTTCTCATCTGTGCGAAAATGCGACTGACAGGAAGTGTCGTGATTGGTCCTGAAAGAGTATTTGGATGTGGCACATTGAGAATAATTAATTTTTCAAGAACTTGTGGATAAGTGGAGGCAAGAGACCATGCAATGATTGCACCCCAATCATGAGCTACCACAATGGCCTTTCTATTATTGGGTTTAGCTTCATCATTGCCATAATAACCATCAATGAGACCCTTGATGTCATGAACCAATTCACCAATATCGTAATTTGCCAAATTATTAACATCTGGTTTTTCTGTACGATTATATCCACGAAGATCAGGAGCCATGACTGTATAGGATTTGCTTCCAAATTGATAATCATTTTTCATGAAATGTAAAAGTTGGAAATACCATGCAGTTGTGGCTGTTTGTGGAAATCCATGTAAGAATAGAACAAGTGGATTTTTAGTATTGGTAGTTGTTGGCTTTTCCAACACAACCACATCCATCGTAATGCCATTACTTGGAATTAATTTTCTTGGAAATTGTTGGTAATTGTGAGTATTTTCCGAGGTTGGATTTTTGAATAGATCCTTCACCTGAACCACATTTCTCATTGAATTGATTTGATAATAGAGTATGATCACTGCCACAGCAGAGAGGAGTGTCCGAGTGACAAGACCACAAAGAGACATTTTTTTTTAATGAAGAATGGCTTGCCAGATCCCAATCGCACCAATTTCGGAGTGGTTATTGTCTTGCCGACGGAATGGACAAAACTGGGTTTCTGAACGATCGTACATTCGAATGATTTTCTTTATAATAAATTATAGGAGGACAAAATGGTTTTTTCTCCGGTGGCAAAAATTCTCGAACAACCCAGAATCGAATAGAATGAATAAGAGAAAAAAAAAAGAAAAAATAAACTCTTGAGTGTATTACGTTTTATTGATATTCGTACATTATAAATTTAGAGTAAACGATATTTACTTTTTCATCTTTCTTGATTTTGTAATTTTCGAAGAGGAAGACGTGGACCTCTTTTCCAAAGTATTCTTTGAGGATCGCTTCACAGTGACTTGCATTCCCGTTAAATTTGAGACATGATAATCCAAATTCTTTCTTCTTCTGGTTCCACTCACTACATTACATGGATCAATATCAAAATTAGGTAATCGTTTGGTAATATCAATAGGTTGAGATCGAACCCATTCGGTTTTTGTTGGAATTTTATCAGTGTTGTTGGATGGAGAAGAGGAATTGTCGTTCGATGATGTTCTAGAGACCATGATGTTGTTGTTGGTTTAAAAGTATATTGCTGTTACTTTAGTTGTTTTGTTTTTTGTTGATGATTTTCGGAACAACAACTCGATGACACTTTTTATCGAGCTCGCTGTCATCCATTTTTTTGTGGAATACAGAAACATCTGGAAATTCTCTAAAAAACTGGAAAGACAACAAAGAAAAACAAACACTAACAACTGCATTCAATTCAGCAAAGCAAATAATCAAAATGGTCTGCACAAGAAGCAACAAGGGATACAACAATTATTCTTCCGAAATTTCCATGGATAATATTGTCGGAGGAACAAGACAACGAAAACAATTCAATTACCGAGTGATGAATCAATATGGTGAGGAAGTCATGAACAATCAGTACTTCTCCTCACGACCCTCCCATAATACTTTGGAAATGAGAAATAGGAATTTCCGAAAGTAGAGTTCTCATCTCTCCAAACGTAACTATTGTCAACCACTATGTAAGAATGTTTAAATATTTAAATATATTGAAGACACATAGATTTGACCCTTTATCTGCCAAATGTATCCACATGCTTCACAAATTCAAATAAATTTACCCTCCATAACCTAGGTTTAACCAAGTCTCATTCTTGAAGTTGTCAATTTGAAAGGGAGAAATTGTTGGCATTTACAGTAAGACACTTGCTTTCTTTGAGGATGATCAGACATCTCTCAGAAATGCACACCTTTCATCAAGTGAATGACAATTTCATTGGGAAGGCAACTTTCATTTATGGTTTGGGTCATCATCCATCACTATCAAGTTTACAATACATCAAAAATATCATTGGTTTGTTGAAGGTCCAGCAACACGTCACACCAAATCTTTAAATTTTTTCAATAATTATTAACAGCATTCTTTCACACAAACAAAAAACTCAACAACAACTTCCTCTCCAACAAGAACAACAAAATGTGTGACGACGTTCAAGCACTCGTAGTTGATAACGGATCTGGTATGTGTAAGGCTGGTTTCGCTGGTGATGATGCACCAAGAGCTGTCTTCCCTTCCATCATTGGTAGACCAAAGCAAAAGTCCATCATGGTTGGTATGGGTAACAAGGATGCCTATGTTGGTGATGAAGCTCAATCCAAGAGAGGTATTTTGACTTTGAAGTATCCAATTGAACACGGTATTGTCACCAATTGGGATGATATGGAAAAGATCTGGCATCACACCTTCTACAATGAATTGAGAGTTGCTCCAGAGGAACATCCAGTCTTGTTGACTGAAGCTCCATTGAATCCAAAGGCTAACAGAGAAAAGATGACTCAAATCATGTTTGAAACCTTCTCTGTTCCAGCCATGTATGTTGCCATTCAAGCTGTCTTGTCTTTGTATGCTTCTGGTCGTACCACTGGTATTGTTTTGGACTCTGGTGATGGTGTCTCTCACACTGTTCCAATTTATGAAGGTTATGCTTTGCCTCATGCTATTTTGAGATTGGATTTGGCTGGTAGAGATTTGACTGATTACTTGATGAAGATTCTCATGGAACGTGGTTACTCATTCAATACCACTGCTGAGAGAGAAATTGTCAGAGATATCAAGGAAAAGCTCTGTTATATTGCTTTGGACTTTGAACAAGAAATGAAGATTGCTGCTGAATCATCCTCCGTTGAAAAGTCTTATGAATTGCCAGACGGTAACGTGATTACTGTTGGAAATGAAAGATTCAGATGTCCAGAAGTTTTGTTCCAACCAAACTTCATTGGTATGGAAGCTGCTGGTGTCCATGAAACTACTTTCAACTCGATTGGAAAGTGTGATATTGATATCAGAAAGGATTTGTATGGTAACGTTGTCTTGTCTGGTGGTACTACCATGTTTGAAGGTATTGCTGAGAGAATGACCAAGGAATTGACCAACATGGCTCCTGCTTCCATGAAGATTAAGGTTGTGGCTCCACCAGAAAGAAAGTACTCGGTCTGGATTGGAGGTTCCATCTTGGCTTCATTGTCCACCTTCCAACAAATGTGGATCACCAAGGAAGAATATGAGGATGCCGGTCCAGGTATTGTCCACAGAAAGTGCTTCTAAATTGACCTTGGATGCACATTATCAAATTCCAATAAATCCAATAATTGTAATACTTCAAAAAAGAGCGTTCTTTTGTTGTGTGATGGAACAAATTGGTTCTTGATTGTCGCGTTTTACACATGATCTTTATACTTATGGCATGACATTGCTTGCAAACTACCGGCTTTATTGCATCATCAAAACTGCCAATAACAACACACTAAATAGACCAGCCAAAAAGCTTGAACCAATCATCATCATTCCCTCTGATCTTTTTTGGTTGAGGTTTTTGGCTCTGAATGGGCATCACTGAAGTGTTCCTTAATGGACTCGTGGATGGTTGTGGACGTGGAGGAGGTGGAATACGAGATCCAGATGGTTGTGGCTGAGGCGAGTTTGATCTTGAAGGTTGTGGAGGTTTTGATTTCGAAGGTTGTGGCTGAGGAGGATTTGGAGTTCCACATTGTCTCTCCAATTGTTTGTAACTCTCACTATTTCTTATATAATCCAATTGATCGCGAGTCATGGCCATGAATTGTGGACACGTGAATAATCGTGCCAGGTTGTTAAATTTGAGAAGCATATCAAGTTGTTGATAGGTCATTCCTTTCACTGCTTGGACATTAATCGATGGCACATCAGAGGAAAGACCTTTTGGATATTCAAAAGCTAATGGAGTAATGTACTGAATTTGTTCATCTGAAATTCCACTCACCGTGTCTTCCAAAAAGAATGAAAAGGACGTGACTTGAAGTTTTGAAAAGACATCTTTTGGTAAAAGGTACACACGATTGTCAAGTCCAAGAAATGTCTGATCGTTGGTGATGAATGTGATCGAGTTAGAGTTCAAGACCTTTTTTAAAGAGTCATCGGTGGTAAGACTTAATTGTAACCATGTCAGAGAAGAGAGTTGATGGGTGGTATCATTCAACGTTCGATATTTCTGAATGTAAGATTGTTCAATCTTTTCCTTAAATTGCAACACCACACTTCTGCTGACAGTTGACAGTTGTTTCTGAGTAGCCACTGAAACAAAATTCTTCTCTCCATACGCATTGACAAAGGCGATCAACTGATCCAATTCAAAACCTGAGAATGTTTCAAAAGTAAAATAAGGAATTGCTTCTGGTTTAAATCCAGTCACAGTGGTGGATGGAATATTCGAAAAACATTCTGCACTTATAGATGCAACAATATTGAGTGGCATCAATTCAAACAAACATCCATATTGAAATCCACGACAAGCATAATTGCTTAATCCTTCCATTTGAGATGAAGTGAAACCAGAGCATGTGGAATTATTGAGTTGTGCCATTTGATTCTGTGTCAATCCATGGACTTGATTGGATGGAATCATTGCTAATTGAGATGCTGAAATTCCTTTCATGCTCTCTGGAAGAAGCATTGAAAGACAAGTCGATGTGAATCCAGAATAACTTGAATCTACAATTCTTGAAAGACAATCTGCTTTGAAACCTTGACAGGCATAGTTGGGATACGAATTGTCGAGAGAGGAAATTTGAGAGCTTGAAATTCCAGAGCATGATTTGGAATTCAAGTTTGCAATCTGTTTTGAGGTGAAACCACTGAATGCTTTTGGAGTCATTTGTTTCAACTGAGAAGAAGAAATTCCATTCACTTGTGTGACATCCCAAATAAAAACACAACTACTGGTAAAACCATCATATGAATTGTCTGGAATATTGGAAAGACATTCTGCTTTGAAACCTTGACAGGCATTGTTGGGATAAGAATTGTCAAGGTTTGACAGTTGACTGCTTGACATGCCAGCACATGATGTTGGATTCAATTGTGAAATGTGATTGGAATAGAATCCTGAATAAGAAGCATCTGGAAGTTGTGTCAATTGAGAGGTCAACAATCCACTCACTTGAGAGGCATCAAAATTTGAGACACACTCTCTGGTGAATCCACTGAATGCGCGAGCTGGTATTTTCGAAAAACAATTCGCTTGAAAACCTTTACATGCATTTTGAGGATAACTATTATCCATTTTGGAAGCTTGATCAGATCGGAGTCCAGAACATGTCTTTGGAGACAACTTGGCAATTTGATTTGAGGAAAAACCAGAAAAAGAAGAGGCAGGAATTTTAGAGAGTTGTTCAGGTTGTGAAATTCCAGAACTTAATTCTTTAACGTTCAACTGAGTCACACAAGATCGAGACATTCCCGCATAAGCATTGGGTTGTATGGCTGATAAACATGCTGCTTGTAATTTGTTGCATGCATACACAGGATAATCGTTGTTTAAGGCACTGATTTGACTTTGACTAAAATTTGAACAAATGTCCAAGTTGGTCAACTCGGAAATTTGATTCGAAACCCATCCTGCAAAGGAAGCTGCAGGAAAATTTGCAATACTTGTTCCAGCAATTTGATTCACCATGTCAACACCTAATTTACCAACACATGATGATTTCAAACCTGATAAACTTGCCACAGGAATGGTATTAAAACATTGAGAAGTGAAACCAGAACAAGCATAATTTGGATAATCATTATTGATGGCTGAGACTTGAGATGAGGTAAATCCAGCACATGCCTCTTCATTTAGAGCGTTAATGGCACTCTTTGAGAGGTAACTAATCACACTTGTACTCAATTGTGAAAACTTTGAAGCAGAATTGATGCCACCCAACTCTTGACTCGGTACTTTTCCAAAACATGATGGTTTAAATCCAGAGTAAGCCGATGAATTCATATTGGAAAAGCATGTCGCCTTGAATCCATTACAAGCATAATCATTAATACTTGAAACTTGAGAACTCTTGAATCCACTACAAGCCAATGGAGGAATAGATGAAAGGTCTGACGAAGTCATGGACGTGAAAGCATTGTCTGGAAGTTGTTGTAATTGCTCGGCAGTCAGTGAGGACCAATTCACATCAGCAGCCATGACTGAATGACATGAGAGTGTTGCAAAAAGCAACACAAGCATGCCAATGAGTGAACCAACCAAAACTTGATTCATTGGGTTGCTTTTGGAACTCTTTTGATATAATACGTTTTGCATTTTTTTCACACACACGGTAAGCTTAGGTATATAGACTTCAATAAATTTTTCGCGATATGTATGTCAAAATCTTCCAAATGCGGCTTTGAAGTCTATTTTGAAGTCCTACCTTACCCGTTATAACAAATAATATACCGTTGCTGCATTTCTGTTTTTTGAATCTTCGTGGTTAATCGTTCGAAAAAAGTATTGCGCTGCTAAGGTGGGCTAAAATTAAATGTGCCATCAAATCACTAGTTTGATTTCTCATGCCTTGCCATAAAGTATGAAAACAGAATAAATTTGTCTCTTTGCAACTAATAACTTGCATAATGTGCTGCATAACCATTATAGTTCTCAATTACATGTAACATAAATTCTTTGTTCACTCTTAAGCTGTAGGACACATATCCCAACGTACAAACATTAATTGATACGCATTCTAAAATGAAATCCTTATTAGACTTCAGATCTGGTGAGACATATTGAAATGAAGAAGCATTCTGGCATACTGCCTCAATGACAACTTGTTTATCTTTCTTGAGATCCATAGTGGCGTACTTGAGAGCGATATCATTTCTTTTCACTACATTTAACATAAAATCTCTATCGCTCTTTAAATGATCTGACAAGTACATTAATATTTGTTCATTTTGTTTTACAGCAGAAAGTAAGAATTCCAAGTCATTTCTCAACTTATTGGATAAATAAGCTATTGTATGATGACATTGTTTGATGACTTCATATACAATTTGTTTGTTCTGTTTACAATTTTCGAGTGCAAATCCATTTCGTTGTACTGCTTGCAAAATAAACTCATGATCCTTCTTGAGATCTGGAGATACATGTTGTAGGTTAGTGGCATGTTGTGAAATAGCGTCCAATATGAATTCCTTGTCGTGCTTCAAGTTTTGAGGTAATAAATTGGTACTACCATCTCCGGATGAGTCTTTTTTACCATTGTGGACTGTAAACAATCGGTATGGCTTTTCTCCGCTCTTAATTCTTTCGAATGATGAAGAGATGCACCCAAAGTATTGTTTTTGAAATTGTCAGGTGATACTGGAATTGTCAGAAATAGCTTAGTAAAAATGTTTGATCATTATTAAATTCAATCGGAACAAAGATATCATATTTTAGTTCTCTATTTTCCAAATATTTTTTCTTTCCAAGTTGTTGTAATGCAAATTTATGTTTAAATAGACCTTCCAAATTCCTAGCACTTTCAAATTTTGGTAGAGGAATATTTCCGAATAATCATGAACTGAAAAATCAATCAGAATAATCCGAATGTTCCTCATGTGTCTCTTGTTCATTCATATTTGACGATAAAACCTCACTGGATGTAAATGATTTCTTTGTGCATCGGCTTTTGTTGATCTGTTCTTCTTCCGAATCTCCATCTGAAAAAGCCTTTATTCGTTCTTTTTTGTTCATTTTTTTCTATTTTGATTAAATTATTCTTTCCCATACACAAATACTACCGTGCTTTCTATTGTTTCATTCTCCAATTTCATTGCTGGAGTCAACACTCAATCAATTTTAAATTTTGAAAATAGAAAAAAAATGAGAAAACTTGTGGGCACTCGACACTTGCGGTCGGAAGGTACAAAACGTCTCGTCTTCTCATCGTCGTTATCATCTGGAAAATCTCTTAAAAAGCATCAAAATGGACTCGGAGTTGAGGATGCAAAATCTTCTTCGTTGTTATTTAATAATGGCTCTGGTCGTCGTGGAGGTATCCGATTGATGATGGAAGCTTGCGAGAGTTTTCAAGAAAGAAATTTTCATCATCCAATGAATCCTCATCGCAAGGAATTGCAATCGGTGGTGTATCAAGAAAAATCTCTTAAAGAAGGAGATGTCATTGATGGGTGGGTTTTGGAAACAATTCAAGAATTGAAGGAATTTGATTTGGTGGCATATCGTTTAAAACATACACAAACAGGAGCTGAATATTTACATTTAGACGCTCCTTTTGATATGAATAATTGTTTTGCCATTACATTTGAAACACCTCCAAACGATGACACTGGAATACCACACATTTTAGAGCATACAACATTATGTGGAAGCGAGAAATATCCTGTCCGAGACTTGTTCTTTAACATGATGAAGAGAAGCTTAAATACCTACATGAATGCATACACAGCTAGTGATCATACGACATATCCATTTAGTACTCAAAACGAAAAAGATTTTTATAATTTAATGTCTGTTTATTTGGATTCTACACTAAAACCTAGAATTTTGAACACAGATTTCAAACAAGAAGGTCACAGATTAGAATTTGAAAATCCTCTCGATCCAAATTCTCCATTGAAAATTAAAGGAGTTGTCTATAACGAAATGAAAGGAGCTATGAGTGACAGTAATCAGTTTTTCGGCACGCAGTTACACAAAGCCATTCTTCCTGGTACAATTTATGCCTTCAACAGCGGTGGAGAGCCGCAAGCTATTCCCAATCTAACTTATGAAGAATTGAAAAATTTCCACAAGCAAAACTACCATCCAAGTAGAGCGAAAATATTTACCTATGGTTGTTTCTCCTTCCTAAAGCACATTAAATTCATGAATGAGAATGCCTTTTCAAAATTCTCAGCACTTCCGCCAAGAAAGGTCCCAAAGCAAGTGAAAAGATTTACTGAACCAAAGAGAGTTGAGGTTTTAGGACCTCCTGATTCTATGGTCATTGATGAACAGAAACAAACCAAATTTGCCATTGCCTATGTGATGAATGACAAGAGTGATGCATTCGAAACATTTTCTCTTTCATTTCTTTCAGCATTGTTAATGGACGAACCAAGAGGTGTATTCTATAAGAATATTATTGCTTCAGGATTGGCTCCTGATTTTGCTCCTTACTGTGGATTTGACTCGAGTGTTGGTGATCCAATATTCACGATTGGAGCTCAAGGTATTGCTAAGGATCAAGTTGAGGCCGTAGAGAAGGCCATCGACGATACATTCCATGAAGTAATTGAGAATGGAATTGATCAAGGACTGATTGATACTGTTCTTCATAGCTTGGAGTTGTCCATCAAGAAAAAGTCTCCAAACTTTGGTGTCAATATTTGTTTTCCAGTGTTCTCAAATTGGATTCACAATGATGATCCAATTAGCACATTCAAAATTAACTATTACTTGGACAGACTGAGAAAGGAATTGGAAAATCCAAACTTCTTCAAAGATAAGATTAAGAAATACTTCCTCAATAATACTCATAAGGTCATCTTTGTGATGAATCCAGATCCCAATTACTTTGATAAGCAAGAAGCCATGGAAGCAGCAAAGCTCGACTCAATTGTGATGGCGCTTTCTGACTCTGACAAGACACGAATCGTTGAGGAATATAAGGAAATGGAGGAAACCAAAGTTGAGCAGGCAAAGAATGTTGAGATTTTACCAACATTAACTGTAGATGATCTTTCGAGAAAAATTATTGATGTACAAATGGTTCAACTCGTGAAGGAAAAAGCCGAGCCTGAATTTCATATGAATGTTGTGAAAGGTACCAATGGAATTATTCACGTGACATCCATAGTTCCATTCTCTCTTGGCGAAGTTCCAGAACATTTACAAAAATTCGTTCCAATATTTGGAGATGTAAGTAGGATTGAATTGAGAAATATGTTTCATTGACACAGAACATCGTAACCTTTGCCTTTGATATTCTATTGATTTAATAATGGATTTTTTATTTTCCGAATCTATTCACAATGTAGCTTCTTGTAAGAGTGGGAACAAGCAAGTGGAATTACCTCCAACTCGCTCATCAAATTGAACTCTATACCGGTGGAGTTGATGCCTCTCCTGTTCTCGTTCCAAGTCTCGAAAAAATCGATGAATTTTCGTTTGCTCTCAAATTTTCCTCTTATTGTTTGGAACGAAATGCAGAGAAAATGGTCGACTTGATGAGAGAAATTTACACAGATGTGAACTTCCTTGGAGATTTGAATTTCTTACAAAATTGCATTGATCAAGCTGCATCTGATGCTGCAAGTGGAATCTTACACAGTGGACATCACTATGCCAAAACTCATGCTGCTGCTAACATTTCATTCTATGATTCATTGATTAATGCCACGAGTGGAATTGATGCCATGAGGTTCTTGAAACAGCTCTCCACGGAAGCCAATACTGAACTCATTGCCACCTCACTTCAAGAACTTGTGCCTTATTTATTGAGAAAGAGAAAGATGAAAATTCTCATTACCTGCGAAGAGCACCAACGTGATCGAATGATGAGAATAATGGAAAGACATTTCTATGAAGCGATTGAAAATGAAACTGTGACGAGTGAGGCCAAGATGAAAGCTCAACTCGAATTTAAACCCAAATTTATCAACACTTATCTTTCCATTCCATCCTCGGTGAGTTTTGTGGGTAGAGCACTAGTGACTACACCATTTGCTACCAAGGACTCTGCCCTTCTTCGAGTGGTCTCTTCCATTCTACACTCCAATTATTTGCATCAGGAAGTGAGAGAACGCGGAGGCGCCTACGGCTCCAATGCCTCTCAAAGTATGAATGGCGTTTTTACCTTTTCGTCATATAGGGATCCAAATCCAAATAGAACCATTGGTATTTGCTCCAATGTTGCCGAGTGGATTCAGATGAAAGACTCTGTCACTCCAAAAACAATTCAAGAAGCCAAGTTGCAAGTGTTCCAACATTTGGACTCACCTGTGACACCTCATGCTCACGCCCAGAGTAAAGTTGTATTTGGAATTGATGACGAGTTGAGACAATTCAGAAGAAATGTTATTTTAGATGCAACACGCAATGAAATTATTGACACGTGTGTGAAATATTTGAGTAATTCAAATGTTGCGACTACCATCATTGGAGGTAATTTTGAAAAGGATATTTCAAACGAGACTCAAAGAAAATGGGTAGTTGTGAGGGAGGAAATGGATAATTCATTCAACGACATGCAAAGTAATAATACCATGACTCAGTAGTAGTGTTTGAAGAGTCGATCGTCAAGAGAAGGAAATAAAAGTTATTGAGCCAATTAATTCAATCTTGTGACATGTCCAAGCTCCATAATTATATAGAAATCCAGCAACAATATTGCAAATTTAAGTTTATTTACTTTCAAAGAGATCTTGAACAGCCTTCCTTAACTAGGAGGACAATTGCAGTAAGTTTGATCGTGGAAAGTTACTCAAGTTGGAAATGTATCTTCCTCTTCAACTTGACAAACAAGGTTTCACTTGCCCAAACTATGAACACAAGTAAAATTCAGCAAGATAGATCGTCTGAAGGCACATGTGCCGTTTCGTTAATGGCTGAAATTACACTTATTCGCCTAACCCTCAATACCTACACTCCTTATTGTATGAGAGGCAGACCAGTTAAGCAGACAGGACAAGTTGAACACAGACGACGGGGATTCAATCTCATCCAGAGTCTTAGAACATTGCAAACTTTGTTGCACATCCAGTTTTTGAGAATGGAAGTGGCTGCTACTGGAGAAGGTAAAAGCAAAATCAGTTCTAATGACTGGTCAAGACTTCAGACCCACTCGGTCTGGGAAATGCGAGCCGCAGAATAAGAGTAATTATTGGATCATAATGGTGACCCTAATCAACTTTCAGAAGATCAACTAAAGCGCAAAGGTCGACTGATTGAAATAGCAAATGGTGGCAAGGAGCTTATTGGAATCGTTTTGTGAAATGTTGTCAAGAATATTACAATTCCACCGACCAAAAAAGATTGTCTATACCTTTTTGGTCCACCTTTTTTCAATCACTGCCTATCAGGATATAATTGTAGAAATGCAGTTATTGCATTGCGAAACATAGCAAGACTGGCCAGCAAAAGTCAACTCCGGACTTCGAGGATGTGTTTTAACGAACTCAAAAAAAATCAAAAAAAATTTTGCCGTAAAGAATGAACTTGACACTTCAACCCCATCACTCATTATTCAATAATTAAAAAACCTTTGTATGAATTTAAGCAACAAATACGTTCATTCCGTTCTATTCCATCATATAATTACAAAATCAAATATGTGACACAAAAAAACATACTTTGAAAAGTCTACTATTGTCTACATGGCTTCAAATGTACAGTATAACAATGTGATATTGCAGAACTTGCAAAAACTAAAAGGTCTTGAACATTTTAATTGGAGGGAATTGAAGCATCGAGTTTCTGAATATGGTATTTCACAAACATCCGACAGAGTGACAGCCAAATCAAGCATGTTGTCAGAAGATCAGTGTAACATAATTTTATAGAATATCGAAGTTGTGGCCGGTCTTGAGAAGCACACCCAAGAGAAATATTTGAAAATTTTGAATTTATTAAGGAATATCATTATTATCGTAGAATCAAAGCAAGAAGATTCAAATATACGGCTCAGAAATTAACACTTGAAAATAATACTTTTGGACAAGCTGATTATGGAATTTTTTGTCATCATGTTATGGTTTGGATGAAAAGTTGTCTTTGTCAATTTTAAGCGCTCTCATTTGTTTCATCATGCTGTATTTAATAGAGTGATTAACAATGGTAGAGGCCGCAACAAAATTCATATCACGAAACAGCTGCTGTTGTGTATAATGGAGAAGAATTTTGACCTGCTTTGGATTTGAGAGAAAAATATGGAGCCACGTATTGGAGTGAAAAACGGCTCAAGAAATTGTATTCATGGAATGCTTCTCATCTCAAAGAGTCTCCACAAGAACAACAATCATCAACAATCAAGTACACAAGTGTCACAAAAGAAGAGAAAACTTTAATTGAAAATTCAAAAACTCTCAATCCAATATTTTCCATTCTTTGCTTGAACCCAATGACTCAAGTGAGCATAATATAATTCCATCCTTGTGTCATATGATATCACTAAATTTGATGCAATGCAACAGTAAGGAACATTGTCAAAATCTTGAGGTAGATCCACTTGAAATCTTTTTCTAAGATTGTCTCCAACATTCTTTTGATTTACAGTCATATAATTTTTGGCCCATTCACCGTCTCCAAAGGAAGGAAAATTTGGATATTCAAATTCATTGATTATGTGACGATTAATTTCAGTGTCTCCTGTTCGATTGACCCAAGGAGAATATTGCTCTATTCTTGTATACTTTTGTGTTTCCATTGTACGACACATATACATATCAAAGGTTTGTTCTTTGGGCATGTTGTCGATGAATTGAATCACACAATGATGATTAGTTGTTTCGGTTATTTTTTGATGTTGTTTGATCAACCGATAGAGTTGTTGAGTTGACTCTGTGCATTAAAAAGTGAAAATTCAAGGAAAACAAGAAAAAACCATGAAATCAAGCAAAAACAAGGGAAATTAATTCAACATCGATGTGCGAATTTGATCCAAATCGTGTTTTTTCGTATTTGTTTCATTTTTGTCCTTTCTTTCAACACAGACAGTTGTATCTGCAAAGTAGACAAAAACTTTCAACAAGGATTCATAGTCATAGATTTTGAGATAGGTTGAGGTTAATCTGTGTGTCCAATGTTCAGAATATTGTTCTGCGCAAAATGTTGAAGTGCCTGCAAAGTTTGAGTGGTGTTCTTCAATCCTTACAGAGAATCCAAAATCAATTAATAATGGAGTACTATCTGTTTTCATTATATTTTGAGGCCTAATATCTCTATGTAACACACCTGCTTGGTGAAAACTTTTACCAATTCCACCAAAGCTTTCATTTCTGATTTAGATAAAGATGTACAGGGATAACACTTTTCCATCACAATCCAATAATTTCCATGCTCAACAATTTTTGGAAGAGGATTCACTCCTTTCTCGTCCAAAAAAGTAATAGTTTTTGTTTCTGTAATGATATGTGTGTTGTCGCTTGGTGTTTTGGCAAGTTTAATAATCTTACCATCTCCAAAATCAAACACCAACGACGTTGCTCCTGCAGTAATAAATTTTCCAAGTGTAAAGGTTCGATTGTCTGTCCATGTTTGTTGTGTTGGAGTGTTTAAAAGTCTTTTGAGATAACTATATCCATCAGAGTTCTGAATTCCAGTGGAGAAAAGACTCAATTTTGGACTTCTTGTGGTGATAATATTTTCCTCGCCCAGTTCTGTCATCGATTTTCTCATCTTCACAAAAATAATGTCCTTGAAGTTTGAAACGAATCCAAAAACATAGGACTTGTAGCTATCTTTGAGTGCCCTAAACATGTAATCACAAAGCTGGCCAAGGATATGTGGTGTTTCAATCACTTTTGTATCCTTTTTCAATTCTAAAAAACCTAGCGCCAAATGTTCTATTGCTCTGGGATCATTTTCTGTTAGGTTAAACATTTTGGGAATAAACGTAAAGTCGGGCTTTCTGTTATGAATAATAGTTTTGTTTGTATCAACGGCTGTATATACTGTGGAAATTTCATTTGAGAACAGTTTTTTAAAGAACTGGTGGACACGTGTTTCTTTGTCCAAATTTTTTTCATTGATTGTTAGAGAAATCATGTTTGAACTACTTGCTTGATCATTACTATTGATTTGTAATGCTGGAATAGTACTATTGTTGAATTGTGTTGATTCTTCTTCACTCTGAAATTTTTCAACAGAGACTGAAAGACGTTGATACAACTCCGATGAGGTTATTGTACTTTCTTCAGTCGTTACTCGATTTTCCAATTTCATTCTCTTTGTCTGTTCTTCCATCTCCTTTCTCTTTGTCTTCTCTCTTTCCTTCGTCTCCTTTCTCTTTGTCTTCTCTTTTTCTCTTTCCGTCAAATACGTCAAATATTTTA